AGTTCTATCATACCTGATCCAGTCCGCAGTGAGTCACACTGGACTCCACCACGGTGCGGGTCGCTGCAATGGGCTTTGTCTACCACCTAGTGGCCATCTCCAGTAATTGCAAACAACATTCACTCCCCCAGAGAAGGGGGGGCTGGTGGCGCAGTGGGTTAAGCACCGGACCGCTACGCTCTAGGTCCGCAATTCGAACTCAGTAGTTACCCCGAGGAAGGAAAACGAAGCCGTCTGCTTCAGGAAAGATTTCATATCTTGGAAACCCGCAGTGGTAAGTTAGTTCTACGATGTCCTACAGGGTTGCCGTGTGTTGGAACTGACTCCTTGGCAGGTGGTTTGAGTTCTCCGTAGGTGGGTTTTGCCCTACCACCTAGTGGCCATCTATAGTAACTGCAACCCAAATAAATCTTCCCCCTTGAAGCAAGGATTGCAAAGAAGACAGTTCGAAACTACCAGCCGCTTGGCCGAGCAAGACGGGCTTTCTACTCCAGTAACGAGTTACAATCTCGGAAACTCAGAGAGATAGCTCTATCCTGCCTTATAAAGGTCGCTATGAGACGGCATCAACTTGATGGCAGTGAGTTGGAGTTTTTTGTTTTTCCTAAAAAAAGGCGTGCTGTGCTGGTGGCGCTGTGGGTAAAGCACAGGGAGGCTCACTGAAAGGTCAGCAGTTCAAACCCACCAGCTGCTCCATGGGAGAAAGATGTCGAGGCAACCTGCTTCTGAAGAGGTCTGACTCACAGGGCCCCTCTAGGCCAGGGTAGAACTCCCCCCTTGGGTTTTCAAGATGGTAAACCTTTATCGGAACCCAAAGCCTCACCTGTCTCCCAAGAAAGTGGGTTTGAACTGCTGGCTGTTTTCTTGGCCTCCCAATGGGTAACCCACCAGGCCACCAGGGCTCTGCCTGTAAAACCTATGGCTTTGGGAACCCTAGGGGGGCCTAGCGCCCCTATAAGTCAATGGCCTTCTAAAACCTGTGTTTTAGGCTGAACCAGACAGCCAAGCAGCCAGCCATCTGGCCACACCCGCTCCTGAAGACTGTGCCGCCTGGGTGTCTGAGAGTGCAGGTTGGCACAGCCCCTGCGGAGGGACACTGGGCAAAACCTACCGCGGTGTAACCACCTGCCCTGCGGACCTACACCACCACTACCAGGCTGCTATGCACCAGGGTAGCCATCACCCTGTAGCTGCACTTGCAGACCATTGGAAATGAACCCAATATCCACCAATTGCTGTCAGTTCCGAATCATAGTGACCTCAGGACAGAGTAGAGCTGTCCCTGGGGGTTTCCAAGGCTGGAATCTTTAGGGAGCAGCCAGCCTCATCTGCCTCGCACAGAGCAGCTAGTGAGTTCCTGTTACCCACTTAGGGTTTAGTGGGCAGTGTTCAACGGCTGTGTCCCCTGGGCTCGTCATACACACGAGTGAGGCTGGATCCTCATATTGGGGTGCTGTGAGCGCCCCACCTGGACTGAGAGAGCAAAGTGAAGTCCACAGCCACAGCCGGGCTGTGCCATGCTGCCATCCAGGTGCCCACTGGGGCTGCAGTGGCATCGGGGACCCATCCCACTTGGCAATCAACGGTGGGTGGGTGGGCAATATCCACCGCACATCCTGCGCCATGCCCCTCCCCCACCTCGCCAATCTACAGCCCATTTCTCAGCTGCCCACCCACCCTTGAGGGACAGGGCCACACCAGGGCATGGCCACTGGGGTCGCCTCAGAATTCTTCCCACCACGGCATGCCAAGGACGTGAGAAAGATCTGGCAACACCATGAAGACCCCCCTATCACCCCTGATGGGGTGGCCTCTGTCTTGAGTTTCCTTCCTCCTGTGCCCTGCCCCCACAGTGGCTCCCACCTGAGAATACGTATGGTAACAGTGGGCTGTCACTGTCTTGCAAGTGGCTCACTGCAGGGCCTTCCTCTCTGGGCTGGCTCTGAACCTGCCCCCGTGACCCAGACCCAGACCCAGACGGACAACTGAACTGATTCCCGCTCTGCAGAATTCCCTGGACTGTGCAGCTTTACGGAAGCAGACAGCTCCTTTTTCTCTCTCGGAGCAGCTGGTGGGTTTGAACCACTTGCCTTGTTAGCAGCCCAGTGCCTAACCCACAGCACTACCAGGGCCCCTCATATCCCGCTAGAATCGACTGCATGGCAATGGCTTGGCTTTCGCAGCGCTGCCCATCCTCTGTGTCCCACTCCCACTTGTTCCCACGCAAGCACACTCTTCAAAGAGAGCAAGTCCGGTTTTCGTTCCCGGCCACCATCCCCCCACCCGCTGCCATCAGGCCCGTTCAGATGCACAGCGGCCCTAAAGGACGGCGAACTGCTCTCAGGGTCCAGAGGTTGAGAATCGTTATGGAAGCAATCAGCCTCATCTTTCTCCCGAGGAGCAGGAGCGCCTGGGTGGGGTTTATGGGGGTGGTGTGGGGGAGCGGACTGCTGGCTCCTAAGAAGTGAATTCCACCCGCACCCGAGGGAGCCTGCTAGGGTCTCACACCACCTTAGTAGCTGCAGCCACCAGCGATGACATCTTCGCCGCCTGCTCTTTTTGAGGGACCCCAGAGTTTGCACAGAGACCGCGGAGAGCAGCAGCGGGGCTAGGAGACGTATAGCTCCTCAGTGCGCATGCGGAGTGGGGGGGCAGCAGTCCCGCCGGGCCAGGGAAACCGTTTCTAGGCAAATCTGCCGTCGGTAAAGCGCTGTACTCGCCTCGGCCAAACCCTTTCATGGGAACTGCCAAACGGCGCGGACGGCCGTGTGCTCTCCTGTGTGTTCTTGGTCCACTTGCTCTCAGGAATCCCGAGGTTCTGCGCTTCTGAGATACCATCTTCAGAACGGCACACAGATCTCACGGGGTCGGAGGGTGATGTTTGGGAAGATCACAGAGAGACACATCTGCTCCTAGTTTACACGTTTCCTGGATGCTAACAGGCAAACAGACAGGCGTCGCCTGCCTACATCGGAGGCCGCAGGCGTTTCCCGTGTGGGGCTCAACACGACTCGCTGCCACTGAGTCAACTGCACCTCACAGCAGCTCGACGGGGCCGAGTGGAACTGCCCCTGGTGGGTTGTGGAGACGGTAACTTGTTACGGATGTAGAAAACCTCATCTTTCTCCCTCGGGGAGGCTGGTGGTTTTGAACTGCCAACCTTGGGGCTAGCAGCCCCACTTGCAGCTCTTCTGAGCTCCATGGGCCACTGAGGTTGCGACACTCGGCCCTGTCCTTACAAGAAAGAAAAACAAAACAAACAAAACCCCAAATTTACTGCCTTCGAATCAATTTTGAATCACGGGGGCTCTACTGGGCAAGGTAGAACTGCCCCTGTGGGTTCCCAAGACTGTAACTCTTTATGGGAGTGGAAAGTCTCATCTTTTCCCTGGGGAGCAGCTGGTGGTTTCAAACTGCTGACCTTGTGACTGCAGCCTGGTGTGTAACCACTCCACGATCAGGGCTCCTTGGAGAGAAAGCACCCATTGAGAAGCGACTAGGTGTGGCTGCGGACATGGAATACCTTCCTGATGGCTTCACGGGTCGGGAGACAGCACCCTCCCTTTGACTGTTTCCAACCATGAACAAGTGATGAGCTCACACATGAACGGGTGCTGGGCGGGATCTGGCTCACACTGGTCGCCCTCCCTCCCACCCCCCTTCACAGCCCAAGTCACTGCCCGCTAAATGGAGCCTGGCTGTGCACTGGTCCAAGTGCCCGGATGCTAACCAAAAGTCATTAAGTAGTTCGAACCCACCAGCCACTCCTCAGGAGAGAGATTACAGCTGGGGAAACCCCGTGGGGGTGGGGGTGCTGTGCTACTCTGTGTAAAGGCTAATGGCTCTAAGTGACTAGACAGTAGTAAGTGTGGAGTCTGCCTGTAACTTGTCCTCTCTCTCAAGCACAGATGAAACCCACACATTCCTGTGCCTTCTCTGGGTCTGCTCAGAATGTGCTGGGAAAATCACTCACAGTCCCGTTTGCTTGAAAACCTTCGAGGGGACACCAGGCCCAAAGGAGCAATCCCTGCTCCCCCCGTGGTCTCTGTTGAGTGGTTCTCCCGTGGTCTCTGTTGAGCGTGGTTCTCCCGTGGTCTCTGAGAGTGGTTATGAAGACGACAGCAACGTGGACGCTTTTTTCAAAGATTGAGGTTCGTTGGCACGATGGGCAGCAGCCATCTGAGGGGTCGAATCCCCCCAGGTGGAGACGGACGGCCAGAGGTGGTTCAAGGGAGCCTGCGGGCTGCGACCACGGAGGAAGGGTCAGGACTTCACTCCGGCTGGGACTGAGGGGTTTCCTGTGGTCTCACACAGCCAGCTAGATCCAAGTCGTCTGTAAAACCATCCGGTGGGCCTGCTGAGAGTCACTATCCTTCGAGCCCACCCTGGGGAGATGCTCCTCCCCCCGCGGCTCCCTACTGTGGGGGTGGGGTCAGCAGTCCCCCTGTCCTTTCCTGAGCCATGCTGACAGCGCCACACATTGCTATTGCACTAAGTGCTATGAAGAACATTCACATCCACTAGTTTGGGAACACCTGGCCGCTCACCTGCCCTGAACCCCAGGGACAGAGAATAGGAATGGCGTCTCCACTTTAGCTCCTTCCCACTCCACCGACGTAACCTCTGCGAGTTTGGGGACAAGATAATCAATCAATACACAGAGTCCAGGCGGTGGAGCGCATGGGTGTTTCTAGCGATCAAAGAACCCAACGATTCTAGTGTTCCCCTGACACGGCTGCCGCTTTCCTTTCACACCTACAACTAAAAGGTGGCTTCCACAGCCCAGTGCATCCCAAGGATAAAACCCCTTTTGTTTCGAGGAGAAACCTTTTCTGTGTACACAGCTCCGTGAGAAAACAGCGTTCCATGAAGATGCTGCCCCAAGGTCAAGAATGGTGTTCTGTTTCCCCGCCGCTCCCCAGACCCTGCCTCCACCCGCAGGCCTGGAGGAGACGGAAGGTCAACGGGCCAACAAGCAGGCACTTTGAGGGCGACTGGGCTCACATTTCATTTTTAATTCTAGGTAGGAAGGAGAAAGCTCTGTATCGAGGAAGTCTCAAGGCGGGGTGGCTTTTCTTCACGACAGTTTCACTGCTTTGCACCCGGCCTGTCTGCACTCAGCCCGTGTCTTCTGGGTGGACGCCCAGACGCGCTCACTCGGGGTACTCCTCACCCCAGATCTCGTAGATGGTGACGTTGTTGAGCTGATCCAAGGGCAGGTCTCCTTGCTGTGCCTTGAGGCTGGGGCTCGCCACCGAGTCCTTGAGCTCCCGCACCTTGGACACAAACTTCACGAGGTCCATCTCAAGCTGGGTCAGGGTGTTGAAGGCGTAGTCTTTGCTGGGGGACGTGCTCTGGATCTTCTTCTGTGGAGATCGCAAGGGGCAGCCTCGAGGGCCCGAGGGATTCTGGTCCTGTCAAGAGAGACACTCAGGTCAGCGATACGGCTGACTCTTGCCACTCTGGATGCAGCGGGGGG